CGTGATAAAGTTATATAAATCTTATGCAATCCATAATTGAAAGGTACTGAGGGGAATTTTACTTTTGAATTTTAATATTTAAGCAATTTCGTTCTCGAAATCTCTCGAAAGTTAACGTTATATATTTAAGATTACTTGAGAGCTTCGTAACTCTTCGCTCGAATCTATGCAAATCAATGCAAATCAGCTCCCTCATGAATCGGATATGTGCGATAAGAGCTAAACAAGAAGTTTCTATTCCACACGACGCGAAGGTACGGAATTATTTATTTAGAATTCTAAACAAAAGAAGAGCGGTGCGCGCGCGCGCGCGCACATGTCGGAAAATGATAAATATCTTCATATATACCGTTAATATCTAATATTACCTGCTCGGAAATGCATGGATTATTATGTGACAACAGCCCGTGGCGTAATAACCACCGCGTAATTTGATACAATAATTACATGACGTTCATTAATTAATTATTTGTGCGTTTAACTCTTGTGAAGCCGTCCGCGAAATATTCCGCGTTCTCATCGGATATAATGCATTTCGGATATGGCCAATAAAGCCCGATGAGAATAGTATTGCCTTTCATTCATCTTTTATAATCATTATTGCAACTTTCAACTTTGTATCAAAGCCGAAGAGCTATATCTGGACGTGTTCGGTCTCTGATGAATTATATAAATGCTGCTCGACTCTTTTTTTTTTTTTTTTTTTACAAGAAGAAAAGTATCGGATCGGACTTTTTCATCAGTCGGCCGCGTAATCGATCGGAAAATACTGGTGCTGGAAAGCGCTAGACTTCTCTCCACTGTTATATTAAATTTAAACGCCGCGCTGTGTGCGCAGTACGAAATCCAATAAATTAGTTCGCATGAATACATTGGGCAGTCTCACGACACGTAGTTTCAATTAATCCGCTCGTAACTTCTTGCCATTGCGGAATATATAGGGTGTCCTTCTTAACTGCCTAACAAAATAACAGGATAATTCTGCGTGGAAAAAAAATAAGTTGGAAAAATAAAATAAATTTGTTTTTACACGAGAAAATCGGTTTTAAGTTTGCAAGCTCAATATTTTTTTTTTTTTTTTTTTTTTTTTTTTTAAATT